TCATGAAGGACGTCCGACGTGCGCGAGTGTTGTCAGTACGAGGGGCGTGGTTGTATCCAATTGACGATCCTAGCCCGTTTTCCCTCAAATGACGTTGGGAAACCCCGTTCACTAAAGCCCTCGACACCCTTGTGGGGTGATCTGACTGACCACAAGACGTAGTTGGGTGTCTTGTCAATAGCTGTGCAAATGGCCTTCATATCTTCAGCACTCGGCGAGAAGACCGTACCGAATGCGATGAACAAAACACTTTCATCAGCAAACTGGTTCAGCCACTCCAGATCGCTGTCTCCATCAACAAGACCGCGGCCGATCCGAGCGTCATAGCCAATAACGGGACCGACATTAAGCAGGCCAGTAATTGACTGCTTGATGTTGCTTAGCAATTCCGGACGGTAAAACGCATCAACGTCGTTGCAGACGAAGCCCTTCTTCGCGCCACGTTGATGATACAGCTGCAACATCAGCTTCGTGCACTTCTCAAGCGCCGGTATGCCCTTGAGCCTAATCAACTGGTCCGGTTTGTAAGAACCTAGCCCCGGCAACTCCACCTGCTTCATCTCCTCCGCTTTGGCCACGGACAAGAAGAAGTTGTCAAAGGCTCCGATCACGATGCAAGGTGAAGGACAGAAAGTCCAGCACTGAGCCTCGAAGAACTCGGCCACAGGCACATCCGCAACCGTCATAAAATCACCAAATACGGCAATCGGCCGTACCTTTCCCCGGTTGCTGTGCACGCCTTCGTAGTACTCCACTACAATCTTGTACCATAAATTATACTGCCAATGCAGGTCGGAATATATATCGATCAACTCCTCAATGACCGCAGCCTTCACTTCGATTAGCACCAGCGTAAGACCTGGACCCATTTCCAATGCCAGGATCTCTTCAACCTTGTCACCCAATGCGCCGTTAGCCTCCGGCTCCCCCTCCATAACCGACTTCGCCTCCAGCGCCTGAGGAACCTCATCTGGACAGGGCATCAGCCGTTGGCAATACTCCACAAGTCGTTCTAACTTAATTATCGTCTTGGCACGCTTTGTCATCTCGTCTCTCTGAACCCTATTAACCGGAGCGAACAAGGTAGAGGTATAGCCATGAGCACACAAACATGTATGGAACTGAAGACTGGGATTTATGTGGCCCAAGCCCAAGTTACACAACATCGCTACCTCACGAATCACCACCTCACCGGGGACCATTGTCGTACTCTTGTTCACATTTTCGCTCCCGCTCTCGTTCCTGTAATCACTCACACCGGAGGGCACAGAAACAGATGACGACATAGCGGCTGTTCCTCACTTTCTTTTTGACTGAACTCTGACCAGCTCTGGCTGACCAGCCCTCTGGCGAGCCGTACAGGCCGTCTCAGACGGCACAGCGTCGCAGTCAAACCCGCTGAAGCAACAGACCGAGCACTGTGGTATTGACCATCCCAAAAAAGGTGCCTACGCATACATGTCGTCTGTAGCCGCTACGGCTTCGCGCTCTCTGAGCTCAGGCAACTGCGCCTCGTCCGCCACAAAGGCGGCCTCCGCGTCCTCAGCAGGTCGATTGAAGTACCGAAGGGCGCCACCGAGCAGAGCCAAACCGCCAGCAGCGCTGGCCACGCCAGTAGCAATCTTTGTACCGTTGCCGCCACCGCCCGTAGTTGTGGTATCCGCAGCAGGTGAGGTAGTAACGGTCACCGGCCTCGTCGTAGTAGTAGTAGCCTTGGTTGTAGTAGTAGTCGCCTTGGTTGTAGTGGTAGTCGCCTTGGTCGTAGTAGTAGTCGCCTTGGTCGTAGCAGTTGTGGTGGATTCGGTGGTGCTGGTGGTCGTACTCGGCGGGGGAGTGCTGGGATGGGGGTCGCAGGTATCTCGTACATCGCTGCAATGTCTCCAGCCACTCACGTGGTAGTCGCTGCGCCACGCACAGCGCGGCTCATCGCCACACTTGAGGCAATCGCTAATGGTGGAGCAGCCTTTTGTAGTGTCGCAGGTGTCGGAATCGAAGCCCTGATCGCCGGGGTGGCCCTCGAGTATACTGGACACCTGGTCGGCGTTCTTAAAAACGCAGCGGGTGACCCTGTCGTTGGCGTCGCCTCCGATGTTGGTTGCGGTGAATTGGAATCGGACACACCCTTCAACTATCTGGCACTCATATTGGCACAGCGCGGCGGTCAGGAAATTGTCCAAGTAGACGAACCCGGCAAGCTCTGGGGGCTCGGAGTAGCCGAAGATCCAGTTGTCGAAGCAGGAGCCAGTGCTGGCTACAACACCGTCAACGATTTCGATTTTCTCTACGCTGCAGCCCGAGGTAAAGGAAGCGTCGTCCAGGGGGTTGCCGCCCTTTTTTTGAATCAAGTGGCATCGATCCAAACAGTCCTGATTATTGAGCCAGGGATCGATCGCTGCCACGTCGTTGCAGTCGACTTCGGGGCTATCGGTATCTGCAGTAGCAAGACAGTGGCTAGCAAGCAAGGCAGTCAACTGGCAGGTCTGAAGTCTCATCGTGCCAGCAATTTGTGGTGCCCTCAGTTTTCGGTACGTGCACACATCTTCCGATGAATGTCGACATTCAGTAGCCCTGAGGGCTTACTCGTGGCGCAGATGCTGGGTTATTCTCTTGTGCTGTTGCTGGCAATTGTTTCTTTGGCTGACAATGTACTCGGGGTCGAATACTTCATGACCCATGCCGCTTATGCCACAATAAACTTGGTTAGGATTAGGCCGGTAAATACGCAGTAGATGACCGGTTGCCACAGATCTTTTCAACCTTGTCATCCAACGCCTCAATGAAATTCAGCTCCTATTTCATCTCCTCCAACCTCAACTCCGGCGCTTGGGGAACCTCATCCGGACGCGGCATCAGCCGCCGGCAACACTCGCCTAGTTACCGTCTTGGCGCGCTTTGTCATCTCGTCCCTGAACCCGATACACCCCGAGCGAACAAGGTAGCGGCATAGCCATGAGCACACAAACATGTATGGAACTGAAGACTGGGATTTATGTGGCCCAAGCCCAAGTTACACAACATCGCTACCTCACGAATCACCACCTCACCGGGGACCATTGTCGTACTCTTGTTCACATTTTCGCTCGCGCTCTCGTTTCTGTAATCACTCACTCCGGAGGGCACAGAAACAGATGACGACATAGCGGCTGTTCCTCGCTTTCTTTTTAACTGAACCCCGACCAGCTCTGGCTGACCAGCCCTCTGGCGAGCCGTACAGGCCGCTCAGACGGCACAGCGTCGCAGTCAAACCCGCTGAAGCAACAGACCGAGCACTGTGGTGTTGACCATCCCAAAAAAGGTGCCTACGCATACATGTCGTCTGTAGCCGCTACGGCTTCGCGCTCTCTGAGCTCAGGCATCTGCGCCTCGTCCGCCACAAAGGCGGCGTCCGTGTCCTCAGCGGGTCGGTTGAAGTACCGAAGGGCGCCACCGAGCAGAGCTAAACCGCCAGCCGCGCTGGCCACGCCAGTAGCAATCTTTGTACCGTTGCCGCCCCCGCCGCCGCCCCTAGTTGTGGTATCCGCAGCAGGTGAGGTAGTAACGGTCACCGGCCTCGTCGTCGTTGTAGTAGTCGCCTTGGTTGTAGTGGTAGTCGCCTTGGTCGTAGTAGTAGTTGCCTTGGTCGTAGTGGTAATCTCCTTGGTCGAAGTAGTTGTGGTGGGCTTGGCCGTGGTGGTGGTCGTACTCGGTACAGGAGTACTAGGGTGGGGGTCGCAGCTATCTCGTAAATCGCTGCAATGTCGCCAGCCACTCACGTGGAGGTTGCTGCGCCACGCACAGCGCGGCTCACCGCCGCACTTGAGGCAATCGCCAACGGTGGAGCAGCCATTGGCCGACTGAGTGTCGCAGGTGTCGGAATTAAAGCCCTGGCCGCCGGGGTCGCCCTCGAGTATACTGACCACCTGGTCGGCGTTCTTGAGAACGCAGCGGTAGCTGGGCACGTTGGCAGGGCTCATTCCCAAGCTGGTTGCGGTGAATTGGAATCGGACGCACCTGTACTCGCTCTGGCAAAGCAATTGGCACTTCGCGGCGCTGAGGGAATTGTCGATGTGGTCGTACCCGGCAAGCTCCGGGGGGTCGGCGTAGCCGAAGATCCAGCTGTCGAAGCAGGAGCCGGTGTTGGTCACAACACCGTCGACCATTTCGATCTTCTCTATGCTGCAGTCCGAATTGAAGGAAGGTCGTCCAGGGGGTTGCCACCGGCTGCTTTAATGTTCTTGCACTGCATCCAACAGCTCATATTATCTAGCGCAGGATTGATCGCTGCCGCGTCTTCGCAGTCGACTTCGGCACTATCGGTGGCAAGACAGTGGCCAGCAAGCAAGGCAATCAACTGGTAAGCCTGAAATCTCATTGCACTCGCGAAATGTGTGGGGCTCTCGGTTTCCGGTACGTGTACACATTTTCCGATGAATGTCGACATCTGCGAACTAAGTTCGCCCAGTTACACACAATCGCTACCTCACGAATCATTTGACCGGGGACCATCTCGCCAGCGATTCCGCTCACACTTTTCGTTGCTCTCTTCGTGGGGCCCCACTCTCTTCGTCGGCGCCCACCGAGGCTGGCCCCGCGATTCGCTAACACGATAACGAACCACCTATGATGACTCGGCTTCGTTCTTCGGCCAACCGAGGTTCAGCGTACTACCGGTTGCTTATCGCACACCGTCTCCTCCTGTCACTGCGGTTTGCCGGACGTGACTTTTGCCGTGGTCGAACCAAAACCCCCTGGTGGTCGAACACAGACGCCCAGGGACTTGTCTCAGCAATCATTCCACGTCGTCGTGAGTGCATAAACCTCCCGAACAGCCCTTACTTATACCACCCCCCTGCCCCCGCAATATCGAGCGTCAAATGGACCAAGGACAGTCCCTGAGAACACCGTGGCATCGGTCATCCCAAAAAGGTGACTACGCATACATGTCCTCAGTAGCCGCACCGGCGGCTTCCCTCT